GGCAATTGTTTGGCCTCCTTTTCTGTAGCACATCACAAGTGTTTACCTTCCCTAGGAACACTTCCCAACAGAAAGCTTGTACTTTTGGAGGGATCAGTTTAGTCCAAATTTCTCTCGCTGAGAAGTTCACCCCCATAGGGTTAATTTGAGTGAGCAAACCAAAGAAATATGCACAGGAAAATAAACCATCAGAAGTTGGGGACCACACTCTACAATCAGCTATAGATTTGGTCCAAGTAGGCTCTCTAAAGTGTTGAAATCAACAGCACTAGAGACTCACACTCATTTTCCCTCAACCCTCTTCTAAAGCCAAAATCCCAAGAGATCCCTGATTCTGAAAGCACACCAAACCTAGCAATAAGTTTGTTTTTATAGTTTGATAAAGAGTAGAGGTCTGGGAAATTGAACATAAGAGGCACATCCCCAACCCAAAGGTCTTCCCAGAATAAAACTTTGTTGCCACAACCAACATCAAACCTGATAAATTGAAGAAAAGTTGGATATACCTCAAAGATTGCCTTTCAGGGAGAGGATGGAGCTGCATTGGGGGCTAATTTTGCATCCCAGCCGTTATCTGCATCACCATGTAAGCTTTTAATGACCTTGTGCCACAACCTTTCTTCCTCACAAGGGAATCTCCATAGCCATTTCCCTAGGAGGGCCTTGTTTCTCTTTATCAGGTTCCCTATACCTAATCCACCCTGGTCCTTGGGGTAAAATTATAGCCTTTTTTAGTTGCTATTTTGCTATCAAATTGCTCTATTAAGTAATTATTATATTAGTATCCTTTTTTGAAAGTATTGTAGATATGTTGATTTTGAGATGAAATATAATGTTATTAATAAAGAAAATTGCTATTTTCTCCAATTAACTTGCATGTTGAATTGTATATAAAATTAGAGAACTACGAAAAACATAGTTTTTTATTTTATTTTTTAAATTCTTATCGCCTGGGCATTGCTTAGGCACTCCACTACTGCCTAGAATCACCTAGGCACCTTAACAACTATGTTCAGGGTCTTGTAATTCTGTCACGGGTTTAACCATTTGACCTGGATGGTTGAACTGTCAACCCACCCCACCTGTTGTTTGGAGTGATCGGGAATATTAGTTTCACTAGCCTGGTTTGTATCAATGTTTTTGGTATTCTGCTCCATGCTTGGTGCCTGCAAACCTTTTGGGCAGTGGAGGTGGCTTTTTTGCTGATTCAGAAAGACAAACCACTGAACAAATTCTTGGAAGAGTTTAACAATGGCGTGAATATTGGTAGAAGTTAAGGAAATACATTTGGTTGCATTCTCTCTAGCTCTTTGCTTTGCAGGTGACAGGTCAAGGGCTGTCGTTTTGAAGATGAAAACTGGGGTTCTGGTTCTAAGGCTTTGGAAACAAGAGGTCTGGAAGTAGGGAAGAGGACAAAAGTTGAAGATGGGGGCAATTTGGGACTTAAAGAAAATAATGGTGTGGTGGATGTGTTATTTGATGGCCACGTCAACCAAGAGTTTAATAATAAGAAGCTGAAAGGTTGGTTAGAGTTTGACCTTCTGAGGAGCATTATCGGGAGATGAAATTTTCAAGGTGTGTTGACCCAATAATTGGTAGAAAGGAGAAGCTTGGGCTCCATTTGGAAGGAGTACAAATACAAATATGTAGAGCGGAAAACCTTGTATTTTGTACTATTTTGTATGTACTTGTACTCCTCCCAAACTGAGCCTGAAGAGCTGGGCACAAAGTTAAATGTTTCTTCAATAAACTATTTTAGTGGGTGGGACCACTTGTTAATAGTGGTAATAGTGTCCAAACATTAAGGGTTTTAGATTAGATTCATATACATAATTTAGATTGAGAAATCTGTTGGCCCATTCAAGCCTTGAATTTAACAAGGGGTCTCAAAGTGGGCTCAATGAGTTGGGACAAATAATCATTTTGGGCTGATGAGTACTTCAAAGACATGGACTGCAAATGCAGATGGAGATTATGTGATGTGAGCTTTTGTGTTGAGACACAAATAAAGGGAATACAAGTGTACAAGAAAAGGCCATGCCAGCCTTTAAAGAATGTAACTAACAGCCAACCACTAGAACAAACTA